TTTCCCAGAGCTGTATGCATTAAAGAGAAAGGGGGAGCTCGGAAATGGTGGCTTTTGTTATTGGGTAGGGTTTTTTTGTTGTGTTTGGGTTTTGTGTTGTTTGTTTTTTCTGGGTGGTTTGTGTTTGTTTTTTTTTAACATAAAGAGTGATAAAAAAGATTAAGGGCTTTTTTTTAAGCAGGGGCATAGATCTCTTTGGCTTGGGATGACTTGAATATGTGGGGTCCCAGGGGATTCCACAGAAAACTGAGACAGGAGTTGAGCCAGATGATGAACAGACTTTTCCGTATCTTCTTTCATAATCCTACCTTCGTTAGAACCATAATCCCTCCTTCACCATGCAACCATTTTGCTCTTACACAGAGGTGTCCTTTTCCTAACTAAAAATCAGGAGATGTGACAACACATAGCAGATTTTGATCCTAGAGGTAAACTATGCCATGCCTCACCTGAGAAAACTTGAAAAGGGAGTGATTTTCAAGTTTTGTATTCAGAACACCTTTGCACCAGGGAATAAGCTAAACCTTAAATAACCTAAATAAGCTAAAGTAATTGCAAACCATGGGGTGAGCTGAGAGCACTGCTAACAGATGGACACCTCTGGGAGACACTGGGGGTGCATGGTCCTGCAGCTCTCTTCAAAGCCAGATCTGTACTGAAATGAGTATGATTCACACTTTTTCAAAGGCACAGCAGTGCTGGAAGTGTAGAGATTTTTCAAAAGAATCTTGCCTGCAGGAACTGTCATTCTTCCCCACTGCCCTCATCAGTGCTGCCCTAAAGGAAGCACTGTTTGGCATTAGGACAGTAAATATTCTCACAAGTTCACAAGTTCACAAGTTTTATTTCATCCAATGCCCTGTTCTCAGCTTGGATAAAATAGTTGCAGTGAGCAAAGAGCAACAGGCAGCCTCTCCTGCTCTTTCCCCTCTAAACTGCTAGCCCAAAGGCTATTTCTATGTATTTTAAACTGAAAATACACCCATTGGCCCATTCTTAGAATGTTCAGATTAAGGAGAAAAAAGGTTGTTTTTCCTGGAGTCACACTGGAAAAATATTACTGTGTTTGTATAGCACTCATGTGATTTAAATACATGATTAATAATTTTGCTGATCATAGAAGTAGTAACAAATAGTTTCTTTTATATACTTGTGCGAACACAGTGGGTAAATGACCAAGTACAGTAGTATATTTTTCATGAGTACTATCAAACCCCAGTTTTCATCACAGAAGTGCTAATCTTTCCCCTATGAATTCTCAGATTCCCTGCTTCAAACATGATGGTATAGCTAACAAGTTTTCAAAACCCACACTCCCCACATATTTAATTGCACTTTACTTTCACAAAGAGTAGTTCCGTGATGCCATCTGATTTCAGCAATCAAGTACAGTGATTAGAAATCTAGTCCCAGAATCCAGTTCAGCCCAAGTCAGTAAACAACACATTATTATCCATTACAGTATGACCTATCAATTACACATTTAAAAATATGGGATTTTTCAGCTTTTCTGAGCTATCTTAAAAGCAGTGTCAGAACCACAGTTCAAGACACAGTTTGACAGAAATTATTTTCTATTTATTTTTTTGCTAAGAACAAAGAAAAAAAAATTGTAGTTGTAAATCTCTCTGTTGTGATACTTTGTGTCGTGCTTCACGTGGGGAAGCCACTGATTGATTGTGCCAGGCCAGTACAGTCCTAGTTCTTTCAGTCAGCATTTAATTAGGCAGATTGTCCTTTTGGCAGAGACTATTTTTAGTTTTGTTGGCCCCATATTTTATCGCTGAAAGTGCCATAGTGAGTTTCCTCTTCTATGGTGGGGTAGTGTTGTTATATTTAAAAAAATATAATATCTCTTGAGCATTTCAAATCCCAATTCATAGATTTCAACACTTTCTGCAACTCAGATTTGTTTGATTTTTGGGGGGCTCAGGCTTTTCCTTCCCCACTGTTTGTATCTCATATGAAAACTGAAACTGTGAAGAGGACCATTTATGACAGATACTTTATGAACACAGAAGGAGATGATCTGCAAGTTCTCAGGAGCTTAGACTGTCTAAATAGGCAAAAAAAAAGGCAATAATTTTCTAAAATTCACAGGGTAAACCAACAGCAGAGATTAACACCAAGTCTTCTGTCTCCTAGTCCAAAACCATCTACTAAAACATCTACTAAAACAAACATTTTTTTTAGTTAAGGAAACACAAGCAAAACTCATTCTGCTACAAAAGAAGGGGAAAAGATTTCCTCCTCAGCAGTACAGTTACAGAGAAGGCAGATGATGTTTCCCCAAGTAGTTAACAGGGGTAGGTAACAGACTAAAAATGAAATATTAAAGCTAAGGTTAGAACACCACACTGCATAGGATACAGCTGGCTTTGCAAAAATGATACATTAGTCAAAGATGACATTCAAGTCATTTGAATTCCATGGCTATTTGCAGTCTGGGATTGCATGAGCATATAACTCAAATACTGTGTCCCCACAGGATGTAAAATGATGCCACATGAGAGAATAATATCTTATTACATTCTTTGTATAAAGCAAATGAAAACATTTTATAGCAGAACCATTACCAGGGACTCAAACTTAGTACATCAATGCTTACCATGATTCTGCTCTTGGTTAAGTAGTTGTGTGCATTCCCGGGAGACATTCTTGTGCACCGTATTTCCTTTACAACAGTAGTATATTTTTAAACCATTTCTTAATAAGACAATGATTATTTCAATTTCTTATATGATTATTTAAAAAAAAATCTGCTGGTCACAATATAGATGCAATGAATTTCGTAGAAACAATACTAGAACTTATACATCTAAAAACTCTAAACCACACTGAAATACAAACATATTCAGAAATATTAACACTATAGCTTTAATGAAGAGAGCTGTCTGTTAAAAGTTGTCATGTTCCATGCAAAGAAATACACAAAATAACCCAAATGTTACATAGCATACTGCTCAAATGTTATGACATATCAAGAAGTGAGTTTAACTGTGTAACCTGAAAGCAAACCAGATTTTCCCTGTGACATAGGTTTTGTGTGATCTCACATCTTTTATACTTTTTATACCCTTTGTATTATTGTCCAATTGGCACCCAGACCTTGGATAAATACTTCCATTTCTTCCTGGATTTAGCCATAGTACTAATAATCTAGAGAAGCAGAAAACAAAGTGAAGAGAACACTTACAAGTGATGCTGAGCCTAAGGCAGAGAAATGTTCCTTAGGCATTTATGATTCTGTCTAGAGCTGTATGCTTCTTTTACTAGCTACAGTCAACAACAAGTAGAAGGGTTCTGAAAACATTAGAACATACATGCTTCAAGTGAGTGACCAGAGGAACAAAAAGTAATCAGGATTAATCAACCTGTTAAGATTGATCAATCTGGGAGTCTGTGAATTGGTGCAAAAAAACACTGCATTAAGGCCAAAAGACTCATGTGTAAAGACTTAACAGAGTCTTTACCCAGGAAATATGACAAAGTAGCCTAAAATAATGAGTTCAGTAGCAAGGCCAAATCAAGTAACACCTAACACCACCTAATTCTTATGGTGGGACTCAAGCAGCATACTCTGGCTCATACATACTGAGTTCATTCTTCCAAGGTAGAGTTCTTCGCTGATAGGTATTTCAACATTTTAGTCTAATTAATTCTCTAAGTGCCGAAAGACCATGGCAAAATTAACCTTTCATGGCACACATTACAATTCTTTGCAAAGATCAGTAGATAATAATAGGTATTTTATTAAAAATGAAGGCAAACACAGTATTGGTGAACACCTGTGATTTTACCCCTGCAAAAAAACTCCAAACAGCAAAACCAGCTCCTCAGTGTATCATTCAAATGTATTTACCTCATTTTTCTAGTTGAAATGCCCTGCTTTAATCACTTTATTCTTCTAATGTAAGCAAGTAAAAACAATTATTCCACTTTCCTTATTCATCTTCAGAACATAGACCATCCCATGCATTGAATCCATTCAGTTTTCTATGGAGAATATCAAACTCCCCTCCATATTCACAGTTTTCTACAAAATTCAAGCCCTTATTAGAAGGTATGAGAGTACTTGAGTTACCAGTGGAAAATACTTTTTAAAGCTTTTCTTCAGTTCAAGAAAAATTAAGATTTTTCTCAGGAATGAGTGGAACACTGTCACTGAAATTTCCTGAGTCAAGGTTTTCCTGAAGGACACCTGAAGAGATTCCTTAGAGGGTGATAATGGGTCACAATATCCAAGACAAAGTTTCTCAAACTAGTATATAAACAGAAGACAAGAGAGGATCTTGCCACAGAAAGTATAAAGTAGTCTTGAATTCACATGGACATTTCTACTTACAACAACAGAAGTACTTTTTAACACGTTTGCTGGGTTTTGCTGCGATAGAGTTACTTTCCTTCATAGTGGCTAATAAGGGGCTATGTTTTGGATTTGTGCTGAAAACAGTGTTGATGAAAACACAGGGATGTTTTTGTTACTGCTGAGCAGCCCTAACACACAGTCAAGGCCTTTTTTGCTTCTCACCTCACCAATGAGGGGACTGGGAGTGCACAAGGAGGTGGGAGAGGACACAGCCAGGCCAGCTGGGCCAAGCTGACCCAAGGGATATTCCATACCACGTGGTGTCATGCTTGGTGTTTAAAGCTGGGGGAAGAGGAAAGCAGCGGAGGGATGTCCAGAGTCATGCTGTTTGTCTCCTCACATCACTCTTACACATGATGGAGTCCTTCTTTCCTGGAAACAGCTGAACACCTGACTGCCCATGGGAAGCAGTGAAGGAATTCCCTGTATTGCTTTGCTTGCATATGCAGCTTTTACATTGCCTATTAAACTGCCATTATCTCAACCCATGACTTCTCTCAGTTTTATCCTTCCAATTCTCTCCCCATCCTACCGCAGGGGTAGTGAGCATGTGGCTGTGTGGTGCTTGGCTGCCAGCTGAGGTTAAATCGTGACAATATGGAATTGCAATTCAAAATAAGTATTAGCTTACCTGACCAGAAAGCGATGTAGCCCAACATCAAAACTTCTGTAAGAGAAAAGATTCACCATATTTTAATTATTAAAGGAATATTATTCTCTTGGGTATTGTACCAACACTGTATTTCAAAACATTAATATCAAAGAAATACAAATTTAGTGGAATTGATAAAACCAGAAGCAAAAGTGTAATACACAATTTCCTTTCTGTAATGACATGACATTTAAGACAATCATCATATGGTAAGATTTAGATGCATGTTAAGAAGCTCACAAATTCCTTGTTGGAGTATTTATTCAATAAACTATTAACATTCAGACTATTATAACCCACGTAAAGCATAAATTGTGTATATTCTATTACTGGAAATAATGTAAGTATCCTGATGACCAGCAAGTCTGCACATTTTGTCACGTGCAAGTAGATCTGTGCAAAACTACTGTGGAAATCTTTCTTTCCCCTTTTCTGCTCTGAACTGCACTAAAACACAAGGGATAGCTGGGAATTCTCTCCATGATAAAGAATAACCAAAAAAACCCCTTATGTCTCCTATAGATATACAATATACCAAGAAGCAGACCTTGCCAGTGCATTCCGCTCAGCTTGGTGAGGAAATTGACTTTGAGGCCTTCTGACAGTAAGTACAAGTTAGATCACATTAGATTACAAGAACCATGTCTGAAATCTTCAGCACTAACAACATACATTGACAGTAACTGTCAGTGTTTCTTTCCATTTTCCATTTCCTCCACTGCTCAGACAATTCAGGAGAACCAAGCTCATGAACAACTACCAGCAAATCCTTGATGCTACAGGAAGGTATCTGCTGATTTGAGACATTTACCCAATATCTTAATTACGTGTCAGTTTTATGTGACTACCAATATAATCCCAGATTAACTGTGTGCATAACAGCACAATTGAAAAATGCAAATGTCTTATTTCCGGTGCTGGACTCACTCTGAAATGGGTTTACGTTTCAGGTACACAGAAAACATTTTGGCATATACTAAGCTCTTCAGCATTCTATTCCAAAAACCATAATTGGTCATTTGAGTACAACACAGTCTTATTTTAATAGTACTGCTTGCAGTGTGCTGCTTTCTAACTCAAAGTGCAAGAGAAATCATCAGATAATTAACTGCATCCTGATATCAGCAGATAGATAATGAGTTGCAGAAATTCTAGGAGTTAACAGGGAAGAAAATTCCACTGGTTCAGCTGGGTGAAGAGGAGAAAATTTTTCACTTAAAAGCTGCCTTGCAACAGAAAAACAGTATGTCAACAACATGTAGCTGGTCATCATTAAACCTGTATTTTTCACATTCCTTTCCTGAAATCATTCCCTATTTTACATTAATGTTACATTACTGTGCAATTAAACTGCATGAAGTGTATCGAGTTACCTTTCTTCATTCCTCCTGCCTGGACACATACTGTAATTTGGCTCTTTAAAATATTTTATGTTGTACAGACAGTTTGCAGTATCAGAGCTGCCCACAGTCTGTTTTTATAGCTCTGAAAACCTTTTCTTCCTAGGACCAAGCATTCAGTATGTTTGTGCTGAGATGAGGAGAAGAAGAAACTTGTCAGTTTCAGAAGAGAGTTATATGCTAAATAGCCCTCCTGCACTTCTTCAGCCAAGCTCATCTGCTCAAGTTCTTCAAGTTATTCTCTGATGGCAGTAACCAGTCTGGTACAGAAGGGACAGGGACGTGGAGCACAAAAATATCACTGCTTTTGACACTGAACCAAAAGCCAAAGGACTTTGCTTACCACAAGCATGCAAACTGAAAGGTCCTGCTAACTTGAGATGGTAAGAGCTGAAGGAGGTTGGGGTGGACAAAGCCAAGGCTGAGTGGGTTCAGACAGGGAGGGAAAACAAGACAGTTTGTGTAGATATCATGATATGCCACGTCTTCTCTCATTTCTCACTCTTTCCAAAACATAGCACTTGCTATTAAAAAAGTTCCATAAGTTTTTTCATCTGGGCTTTAGCTATTAATTTTTTAAATTTTTTTTAAATATTTTAATAGGTATTAAAAATGAACATGCATAGAAACAATTTATTAGAATAAAAAGAAAAATTATCAGAGCCTCACTAGGTATAATTCTGCATACATAGACAAGGTCCATTATTCCTCAGTTGATTTTGTGCTGATACATTTCAACAGTCTACTCAAGATCCTCAACAGTGCAACTGTGCTATATCCAACAAAATTTTGAGAATATACAGCAGCATCTGACTGTGCACGTACATCTTAAACATCCCTCAGGACAGTATCATTGATTAGTTCCAAAAGCAAGAACAACAAGGTTGAACAATTTCAAATTGTAATGGAAGAAATGGTTGTATCACTTAAGGCTACTGTGTACATATTTATGGACACTGTGTACATACATCTTGGTTAATGAACAGAAACATTGTGCAAGGCAAAAATACTGAGAAGATAGGATTATGGGAGGTTTTTTTGACAAAAAACTACTACAGACATTTTTGACAGTTCTGTTTGTTCATATTTAAATACATACTGCAGTTAAGTCTACAAATAAAGTGAAAATAAAATGAAATAGCAGTGGCAGCAGATCTGATAGATGCATCTATTCTCTGATGGAAAAGTTAAAAAGGGGTAAAGAGTGTTTGTACAACAATGTTAAGACTGCAACCTGGGGTTGGAATAAGCACCTTCATTAAATGAAAAAAAGAGAACAAATAATCACACTGTACTGGCATTAAAAATGTCATGGCGATCCCATCAACATCAGAGGACTCCACCTATGATGCATGAGTGTCCCTCACAATTAACACAGAATTACCTCTGCCATTAAAAATACATCCATATTTACATGATATTACAATATAGTTTAAAATGAGCTTCACACAGCTTGTAAAATCCTATAGTTCTCTGCAAAATACATGATTTATCTGGTAGTTCTTGCAATTTAGGGTGCCTCAGTTATATAAAAGTTTCAGAAATGTTTTCAGAAATCCTGTAATGAGCACAATTTTTTCCAAATAAATGTTCTCATTAAAATCTAAAACAAGAGAAAGGATACCCATAGTAATGCGAGTGATTTACCAGTTAGATTCTCTATTCTGTTCAAACGTCAGTAGCAATATAGTATTTAAAATTTGTGAGAAGTGAGTAAAATCTAGTTTATTAAATTAGTAACGGTCTTTGGACGGAGCAAAATCTTGACTAGTCAGTGGAACAACAAAGGGGAGATATATTTAACCTCAATTTCATAATCATAATTACACATTGCAGACAATTTGATAGGGTGTTGTTTTTTATAAAAACATCCCTAATTCTATTCCTCTGAAGGGTAGTTTTGAATCACAGTTCTATACACACCTATCAATGCTTTTGTTAAGCATGGAAGATCTAGTTTGATACAATTCAACAAATGGTTATACATACAATCCATCATCATCAGCTACACTACACCAACAAAGACCTTCCGCCTGCAAGCATACATCTCTCTCCTCAAGGTACATTTTCCAAATTATTTCACAGACGTGTAGCTTCTGCTCTGAAAGCTAAATGCATAATGCAACAACCTGCCTCCAAATTTGCATTCAGTACAAAGCTGATGGGGGAAATTAAAAAGTTATAAGCACATGTCATCCACTGAATTGTTCACGGTCCCACTTCCCACAAAGCTGTGCCCTCCTTTAACTGAGGTCCACACTCTGGTTTGTCAAAAGAGCAATTGTGTGAGCTTTTAGTATACAACTTTTAAACTCAGTCAAGTTATGCCAGTCTATTATATTTAAGGACTTAACCCCACATTTACCTCAATGAAAACTGCTTCTTATTAGCTGTTTTAGGGATAACAATTCACAATTCCAGTATGATGGTTAAAGGACTCCCACATCACACCAAGGTTTGACTGTTGAGACCTCAATGCCTAATGATTTACAGTGATATAAAAACCAGAAGTACAGGGCACATCAGGATCACAAGAATCAATTTAAAGTTAAGCTAACTACTAGAGACAATTTTTATCAAAGTAATTGCAATAAATTTTAATTGCCCAATCCTGATTTTTTATATCCATATTTTTAAGCCACGTGCTGAAGAGAAACCAGTGTTGTTTGTTTTCTGCCAGTTCCTCCCCAGGACTGCTGGGCTGCACACTACTCCTGGAAACAAAGCAATGTGCAGCATAATCTGGGAAGATTTGGCTAATCATGCACTTCAGCAAAGAGGTCCACTGCAAGCAGGCAGTACATGACCACTCAAAAGTAGATAGTGGCATGGTTCTTACTTTGGGCCCTACCTTCAGGGGAGTAGATCTACACAGATAGTTTGCCATTTGTAAAAAAAAAGTAAATAAATAAAACATCAGTAGATGAATGTAGATGAAGACAGGTAAATGTGATACTGGGTACCCAGAGACTATATAGTATAATAGGCAGAAATATCCCAGACACCTTGAAAACAGTTGCGTTGCCAGTAAACACTTCTGAATGCAGAAAGAAGTAGTCTAACTTCTATTAGCAGGAGAGGAGTTCAAGCAGCAGCACTACCCCACATTTCCCTGGAGTAAACAATATAATTGCACTTAAATCTCTTTGAATCAGTTAGCCTAGTTGCCATTTATGGCAATGATGAAATCCAACAAGTAGGTTACTTATTATAGTTCTAGTACGCTGGATATTCACCATCTCAAAAATAGCATTGTAGTTGCTGCAATGTTTCAACAACGATTCTTTGCCACTCCTTTTAAAACATGGCTAAACTTGACAACAGAAAGTCTAACTCATTCCCATATCCTCAGAGTAGCCTGCCCTATTTAATTGTAGAACTGTGTTTGCAAGACCAGCACTTCCATTAGCTGTCTTTGCAAATAAATGTGGCATTTAGCCAGTGAGCTGCTGACCAAGAGCCTCTCCCACAACAGAACATTTTGCACTGGAGACTGAGAGGTCATTGAGTGACAGCTGCTTTCACTGACACAGTGCTGAAGTCACTTCATTGTTCCTAATTCTCAAACAATATCTTACAGGAGGAATGCACAAAAGGCTGTGTAAACACAAGAAT